ATATATATATATACATGTGCATATACATATATATATACATGTGCATATACTATATATATATACATGTGCATATACATATATATATATACATGTGCATATACATATATATATATATACATGTGCATATACATATATATATATATATATATATATATATATATATATATATATATATATATATATACATGTGCATATACATATATATGTGCATATACATATATATATATACACATGTGCATATACATATATATATATATATATATACATGTGCATATACATATATATGTGCATATACATATATATATATACACATGTGCATATACATATATATATATATACACATGTGCATTTACATTTATATATGTGTATATGTGTGTATGTATATATATATATACACATGTGTATATATATATATATATATATATATATATATATATATATGTATATACACAATTTTATATATGTATATATGTATATACACAATTTTATATATGTATATATGTATATACACAATTTTATATATGTATATATGTATATACACAATTTTATATATGTATATATGTATATACACAATTTTATATATGTATATATGTATATACACAATTTTATATATGTATATATGTATATACACAATTTTATATATGTATATATGTATATACACAATTTTATATATGTATATATGTATATACACAATTTTTATATATGTATATATGTATATACACAATTTTATATATGTATATATGTATATACACAATTTTATATATGTATATATGTATATACACAATTTTATATATGTATATATGTATATACACAATTTTATATATGTATATATGTATATACACAATTTTATATATGTATATATGTATATACACAATTTTATATATGTATATATGTATATACACAATTTTATATATGTATATATGTATATACACAATTTTATATATGTATATATGTATATATACAATTTTATATATGTATATATGTATATACACACTTTTATATATATATATGTATATACACACTTTTATATATATATATATGTATATACACAGTTTTATATATATATATATGTATATACACACTTTTATATATATATATATATGTATATACACACTTTTATATATATATATATGTATATACACACTTTTATATATATATGTATATTTACGCATACATATGTATATATGCATATATATACACATGCATTTGTATATATATACACATGCATATGTATATATGTTAATATATATACAAATATATATATATATGTATATTTGTACACATATATATATATATATATATATATATATATCTATATATGCACAAATATATGCGCATACATGTATATACATACATATATATATTTATATATGTATTTATACATATTTCTTGACATATCTATATACATACACATATATATTTATATATGTATTTATACATATTTCTTGACATATCTATATCTATATATATATATATATATATATATATATATATATATATATATATATATAATATATATATATATATATATACATATATACACATACATACATATATATACATATATATATACATTCATATATATTAATGAATCAATCATGAATCATTTGGAGCTAACGCCTGCAGGGACGCATAGCTGCATCCACCCTTCGCTTCCCGGCCCATCTCATGACAGATTTGATCAATATGCTCAAACTAGGACCTTCTCTGTCGTCCTACAGGCCTCCTCCACCCAGGGTTGTCTCGGACAGAGACAACATGGTGGGCAGGGTCACCCTGCAGGAGTCGAGCCAAGTGGCCGTATAGCCTGAATTGGCGATCACAGATTGTGCAAGTAATAGGTCCTGTGCCGGTCTCACGGTGCAACCGTTGGTTGGACACATGGTCCTGCCAACTGTACCCCATGATCTGGCGCAAGGATCTGTTACAAAAGGCATCAAGACAAGATTCCAAGGCACAAGATAGCATCCAGTTTTCACTACCATATAGTAAAACTGGCAGTATCAGGGCCTTGAAAACACGTAACTTGGTCCCTCTGCACAGGTACCGGCATCTCCAAATGCTCTTGTCAAGAGATTGCATGACCCCTGCTGCCAGGCCAATCCGTCTACTGACTTCCTGGTCTGACAAGCCCAGAGTCGTGAACTGCATTACCGAGGTATATAAAGCTCTTGGTAACTTCTATGTTTTCGCTGCAAGCATGCACCAACTGCAAAGGGTCTCCTAGTAGGCCTCCAAAATCCTGGATCTTGGTCTTAGTCCAGGAGACCTCTAGCCCGAGGGGCTAGAGGTCTAAATGCATCAAGAGCCGCCACTAGGGTTTCCAGAGATTCAGATAGAATGGCAACATCATCAGCAAAGTCAAGGTCAGTAACCTTGATATTGCCCAGAGTTGCTCCACAGTGACTTTGGATAGTAGCTCTACCCAGTATCCAATCCATGCAAGTGCTGAAAAGTGTTGGTGCAAGAATACAGCCTTGCCTCACCCCTGAACTAACATGGAAGAAGCTCGACAGGCCCCCACCACACTTTATAGCACTTTCAGTGCCTGTATACAGGTTTGCTATTAATCCGAAAATCCTTTTTGGAATTCCTCTTAGCCACAAGGATCTCCCAGAGTGATTCACGATGCACTGTATCAAATGCCTTCTTAAGGTCGATGTAGGCTGCAAGCAGCCCATGACTGAACTCACGACGGTGCTCTACAATGACTCGAAGCGCCAGGATGCGGTCTATTGTTGACTTACCAAGAGTGAATCCCGATTGCTCCAGCCTTTGGTGCCTCAGCAGGTGGTCTCTGATGTGTCTCAGTAAGATGTATGTGAGTGTCTTGCCCGGTATACTGAGCAGTGTAATGCCTCAGTGATTGCTGCAGTCCCACCGATCCCCTTTCCCCTTCCAGAGAGGGATGACCACACCCCTCAGCAGGTAAGGGGGAATGGTACTGGTCTGCCAGATGGCAGACAGGACTGCATGCAAGCCTCTTGCCATAGGTTCTCCACCAGCCTTTAACAGTTCAGCTGGGATGCCACAAACACCTGCTGCTTTTCCACTCTTCAGCTTGGAGATCGCCCCCTTGACTTCAATCAGGGAGGGTGGATCCTCGCTAACGGGTGGGTCGGGCAGAGGAATCTTGACATTCCCCGTGTCCATGTTAACTGTTGGTGGATCAACCTGATACAACTGCTCAAAATACTCAGCCCAACGCACACGCACGCCATCAAGATCTGAGATTATCTGGCCATTTGCTGAGTGGACTGCAGTTGTCTGTTAGGAGGGCTTGGAGTTCAGCTTTCTCAGGGCTTGGTAGGCAGGGCGAAGGTCATTTACTAAGAAATAGCTTTCGACTTCCTCTGCAAGATTCCTGATAAACTGTTCTTTATCCCTTCTCAACAGTGTCCTAGTCCTACACGCCAGAGACCGATGCAACCGGGTACACTCATCCTCCCTCAATCTGTCCAAGTGAAACACCCTAGGGTGTTCACTTGGGTGACGGGGCGTTTTAAAGTGGACCCGGAGAGTATTCACAATTAATCTATGATCAGTTCCACAGAACTCAGTGCTCTGATACACCCTGCAGTTCTGGAGGATCCTCCAACGAGTGCTAACAAGTATGTGGTCAATCTCCTTGGCCACACTACCCGTATCGCTTTACCATGTCCAACGATGCGGGTCAGAACACTGATACCAGGGTTGCTGCTCCAAGAGCTTCCACAGTTCAGCCTAGGACCACAGGGTACCTAGTTTCCATGGGTGGCCACGAGGAGGCACTGCAGAAGTTTTGATGATGGAGAGGCTATGAGCTGGCAGGGGAGTCTAATGCATAGCTGCTCCCTTTTCGCACCAGTCTAGCCAGTGGTGGCAGCTGTTACCGAGAAGGCATGCAAGCACTTAACACTACCTAGGCGACCACACCATGGCTTCACATCACCCCGAGCATGAAGCACCCACCCATACATATATACATATATATACATATACATATATATGTACATATGTATACGCATATACATATATATGTACATATGTATACGCATATACATATATATGTACATATGTATACGCATATACATATGTGTACATGTATATACATACATATACATACATATACATACATATACATACATATGCATACATATACATACATATACATACATATACATACATACATACACATAAATATACATATATATACATGCTAGTACATACATGTACATATATATATTCATATATATGTACATATACATACATATATATGTACATATAATACATATGTACATATTTATGTACATATAATACATATATACATATATATATATATATATATATATATATATATATATATATATATATATATATATATATATACATATACATATATACACATGCATATATAGATATATACACATGTACACTTATATACATGTATAGACATATATGTACATATAATACATATATACATATACATATATAGACATACACGCACATGTATATTTGTTTATATATATATATATATATATATATATATATATATATATATATATATATATATATATAAATGTATAAATATATAAATATATAAATATATATATATATATATAAATATATAAATATATATATATATATATATATATAAATATATATATATATATATATATATATATATATATATATATATATATATATATATATATGCATACATATATACATATATACACATGTACACATATACACGTATATGCTTACATGTATATATACGTATATGTATACATACATATATATATATACATATACATACATATATATATACATATACATACATATATATATACATATACAAACATATATATATATATATATATATATATATATATATATATATACATATACACATATACATACACTTACATATATATACACATACATGTATATTCATACATGTACATACGTACATATATACATAGATATGTATACATGTATGTATATATACATACATATAC